AGGGCAGTGAAGGACCAAAGCAGACTATCTTGAGAGACTGTGGAATCTCCCTTACTGGAGATTTCCAAGAACAGGTCAGAGAAACCTGTCAAGGATGTTCTAGGCCTAGTTAGATCCTGAACCTGTGCTGGGAGGTTGAATAGGTGATCTCTTGGGGGCCCACTCCCAACACTAAATTTCAGTGGCTCTATTTCACACTCATTTGTTCATTGCTAAAATGGAATGTTTTCAATATTAACTTCATTTATACTAAGCTTCTGCAACATACACCAATAAAAGTAAAATTAAACTTTTTAAGAGTTATAGCATTCATGTTCTAATATGTACCTGATATGAGTTTTGTATTCTTATGGCTATTTTATATTAAAATAAATATACAAGCTCTAAAAGGATGCAAAAGTTATAAAAATATTATTTTAACAGCAAAAAACATATTTTTACCAAAGGCCTCTCCTAACAAGACTTGCATATGAAATACATAGGACAATTTAAAATCATTTTGATGCATTATGAATCATCTGCAAAAATAAATAAATAAAGTGAAGACATTTTGAATTTTTGTAAATATTTATAGAGCCAAACAATATGAAGTATATGTAACAATCAAATTTCTAGTGAAAATGTGTGCAAGTAGGTTTATTTTGAAAGGAAAATTCCTACTCCCAGTGTCATACCCAATTAAATTCTCCAGGTAATGACCCCATTTGCATAGAGAGCTGAACCCACAAGTGGGAATTTTAATGGGCACACCACCTGAGTACATTAATTGAGAGTGACACTACTTGAACTAGTTTTGTGCTTACCCCACTGAAAATTCTACTCATATTATTTTTAATGTCAAGCTACAAGTCAAATTTCAAGATGATGGATTTGTTCTTTTTTAAGCATTGAATTTGAATAAAAGAATGCTTTAATTCTGTTATGCATTGAATAGCTTTGCTTTAACTAATCTGTAGTTCTGATTCTCATCATTGCTTCATTTTTTCAGTGATTGGAATTTAATTTTCTTCATTAATTTGTGAATAATTAGATACAAAATAATGCCTTCAGCAGCTAAATTGCTTTTGGATTGCTGTTTAATGTACTTTTACCAGAATGTGTTACTGTTAAGCTGGCATAATAGTTTACTAAAATGTAATTGTGTAAATATATCTAATTATTCTTTCAAATGTAACATGCTTGAATATAATATTTCAGTCATTGGTACCTTCCATTTTCTTAAGCTTAACCCCACCAAAGTGCAATTACCACAAAATGGATTACATATGCAAAGATCTGAGGTGTATTGACTATGGTGGGTCTCTTTATGCTGTAGACAATACTCATTATGACCTTGAAGTTATTGTGGAATCTGAGCCATCCCTGTAAGCCTATATTAATTATGTAATCAAAGTACCTTACATCACATACAAAAACAAGCAAGTAGATAATCTCTTTTTCTATAGAAACTAGAAAACTTTTGTTGCTTAATATAGTTCTGCTTGCAAGTCTTTCTCTTGCCAGTCCTCAACAGCTGAAAGTATGTAATTCATCAGCTACATCAATCTGGCCTTTCAGATTTCAAGATTGTCAGTTTGCATGATTATATGCAGTTCAGCTTAAACTATATTTCTCAGTTTTTCATTTGCATGGGTATTTTGTTTTTGTCAGGAGGCATAGCGAGATTGTTTGTTTTATTTAACTGGTAAAACAGTTAACCAAGCAACTGTTTGGTCAAGATGTATATGTATACACACACACGATAATGCAACCTACTTCATTAAAACAAGCAAAAATATAATGATCTTTATACATAAATAAAGATCTGATACATCTGATAGCAGTTGTATCAGATCTTACGTTTTTGCTTGTTTTAACAAAGTAGGTTGGATTATTGCCTCCATTTTATTAATTAGAAACCCAAGGCACATATATTATATAACACTTACATTAGGACCATTCTTTCAGGCAATCTTATATGTAAGTTATCAATGGTAACAATTTTACATAATTTGAATTAAAAAAATCTTTAGGTGGAAATTCATAAAAGGAAGTCATTTTCCTCTGACCAGATAAATTTACTGTAGCTCAGATTCAGGAATCAGTAGTAAATTATTTGATTAATAATCATATTGATTTTAATTATTGTTACTCCACAGTATGGAATTACTCAGCATAAATAAAGGTAGCTAAGCAAATTTGACCATATAAAGAAAAGATTTGTAAGGGGTAGAAACCTTCATTTCAATACAAGTGGATCAAGATACTGAGGTTTTCTGCATGGAAAACACAACTGACTTAGCCACTTAAGAAAACCATAGCTGAGCATCAGATGTATTCCCCTCATGAGTATTTTCTTGGAGTTGTTTACATTACCAAACATGGAACAGACCGAAGTTTAA